GTGGTTCCGCTACGCCGTCACGATGCGCAATCCGTGGCTGATGCATTCGTGCAGATTTGCACTCGCTGGGGTCCCCCTGATATGGTCCGTCTCGACAATGGCACTGAGTTCATCAACGCTATCGTCCGCTCTGTGTCTGCTATGTTTGGAGTCACCATCCAAACTGGAGCAGTACGCCATCCCCAATCGCAGGGCTGTGTTGAACGATTCAACAGGACACTGCTGACTCTGATGAGGAAGGTCCTATCCGAATCGTCTGACTGGAATGCTGATCTGAACACACTGCTGTACTTCTATCCTAACCGACCTCATTCCGCAACCAAGATTTCGCCGATGGAAGCCATCTGTGGTTGGACACCCCACCAGTTGATCGCTGATCCAGATCGGACTGTGAATGACGGCAGGAACTGGTCTCGGGATCACCCTGCTCGGTGTGCTCGACTGCGCGACCTCGTGGAATCCGAGTTATCCGACGCTGATCGCATCCAAGAGGAGACTGTGCCTGTCTATCACACTGGTGATCACGTTCTTCTCCGCCGTCCTGACCGTCACCAGAAGCGTCTACCGATGTATGAATCCGGCTCGCAAGTCATTCGTGTTCTGTCCCCCTCGACTGTGGTGATTCGACGGTGTGAACCTGTACGTGGTCGCAATGCTGAGAAAGTAGTGAATGTCGACCTGATCAAGCTCGACCCTCACCCCGTTGCCGCAGATGCAGATGTTGACTCTCCTGATGATCGTGATGACATCCCTGCTATCATCCAAATCGACATGGATCCGCAGCTTGACCAAGCCTACGGACTTCGTCGCCGGGCTGCAATCCGTCCTCCTCAGCGGTTCCGTGACTAATGTCATCAAGGGGAGAGGTGTAATGTATATATAACTGAACCTATCTATCTGTCTATTGCTTCACTATTCATTGATCATGCTGTAAGCCTACATGGGTAGTGTTTCACCCAGTATGACAGTTTGCCCTTTCATCAATCATCGTGGTCTGCTGCACACGATGCATGGACGTGTTTCCTTTGTTTTGCATTGCTTGCTGTATGCACGCTTTCAGTCTTATCATGCTATCGTTAGTTCCGGTATAGTGCGTTGTTGCGAGTCTTGCGTGCTGTGCGTAGAAGTCGTACCACCGCACTCAGTATCGCTCTAGCCCGATAATCCATATGCATCTGAGTTGGCTGTACTCAGTTGCCTTTTGGGAACTCTTTGCCATGAGTTCATTAGTAGTTCGTATGTTGTCGTTTTGCTCTCAACTTGTTTTCTCTCTCTCTCTCTCTGAAATGTTCTTCCCTGAATAACAACTAATTATTTTCGTACTGCCTGTTGGTCGAGTTGGCGTGCATGCCTGCGTGACTGAAGTTCCATAACAACGGACATAATAATATTATATTTTTCCATCATCGACCACACCACAACTGCGCTCTCCAGCCGGCCTCGACACGTAACCGAAGTCGTTGCCACAGCACACCACCATCGCTGGAGGCTGAGTCGGAGCGCAGTTGTGGTGTGGTGGACGATGGAAAACCTGTACAGGGCCAAATGCTACTGCTTACCCTACATTATTATTAAATTTTAGTATGGACACATAATCATATATGTATGCAATCGACTGGAACACCGGTTCAGTGAGGGCTTGAAGACCCTTTCAACTGTTACTTCTTGTAAAGATCGAATATGCAAGCCATGGGTACGTTGAGAGCCAGGAATGCCGAAATGACAACTACAGTGATAAGTTACTTTCCCTGTCCATTTGTTTTTTCGGAAATGTTTGGCATTTTTACGATGCGAAATGCTCTATAGTCAAAGGACAAGAGCATCGTCTTCACTTCAGTGACAGAAACAACAACAGCGAAACAGTGTCGACAATTTTACAATCCTTCCAATGTCATCTAAAACACATCGCTGGCGCAGCACTCCGTTCCTGCGGAGGAACAACTAGTCACTACTGCTTGCTGCAGCAAGTAGAGATTACTGACTTTGCTTGCATGTCGGAGCCGTAATCTGTTGTAGTTCTGAGGAGCTTGAACTCTACGTGTACGGTTCGAAGTTCGTTGAAGAGTGTCAGTACTCGGAACATCCGTTCTCTTCTGCAAAAAACTTGTCCAAGGAATACTGACCACACCACACCCATCCGGAGCAGCAGTGAATGACAGCGCCAATGGAGGTAAGTAATAAATTAGTTTGGATCGTTTCGAAAGATCAAAAAGGAAGCAACCACAAAATGTTGTCTACAGTGTCCGTTTGTAAATCACGGACGTGAACACCAGTACAGACTACTATACGTACAATATCGATCCACTGCACGCGAGTGCACTGACGTCTGACGATGTAGTCATAACTGACTCAGTGACTGCACTGACCACTGCTGACTGTGATCGGACGTCGACGGACGTCCTTTTGTGCACACATGATATTTTTCGAAATTTTCTCAGCCGCACACTTTGCAAAATTTAGGGGGTTCCATGGAACCCCCTGAATCCGGCACTGAGTGGGCGGGCAATTGAGTAGCTCAGTTTCCTGAGGATCTCATTGGTGATCCTATCAGCTCCGGGGGATTTGTTCAGAGGCAGTCTTGCAATATACTTGTGAACAGTCGGTTAGGTGATGATCAGGGAGTGCAATGTAGTTGCTGGTGGAGGTAGGGAGGAAATAGTGGGAATAGGAGCATCGGGGTCAACCCGTAAGCCAGCACTGACGAAGTGGCGGTTCAATAAGTTACCAATGGATGCCGGAGAGGTGCTTGTTCGAACATTGGGGCCCACCATCTTCGAAGGTATGACCCGGGCGCTGGTAGGATTTCGCAGTTGACGAATGAGCACAGGGAGGGATGAGAGGCGAGGGTTTGTGGGAGATATCGTGGCACGGAGGTTGCGGATGTAGCAGCGATGGCAGGATCTGGAAAGGCATTTTACATAGTTCCGTTGGTGTTTGTATAGCAGTCCATGGGCAAAAACTAACGGCATGCGAGTAGATTCAAAATAATAAAAAATCTTGGGCAGTTCTGCAGTTTCCACACCATGTTTCAGCCAGCCTCGAGGAAGACCAAACAGTTCTTAGTTTTAGTTTTGTTGTCATCATCATTTCGCTTTTGCAGGTGAAGAATATTACGCCCTGCGATGGAAGCACGCGTGCTTCGGCTCTTCCTTTTGCTTTTGTGGCGCGGCCTTGGGCAATTGCTTCCCGAGCGACATTGGAAGGGTGAATCTGGCACCAAATCCACAACAGGCAAGCCTCGGCCTCAATATCAAACATTTTCGTCATGGTGAAGGTGAAGGAACGAACAAAGGCACCGGTATGAAAAGAAAAGAACGGAACCTCAATGTCAAAGTCGAAGAGAACGGAACGGAAGAAGAAAATTCTTTTGACAGATGCAGCTAGCAGGCCAGGTTGCATGCTCACTTTAAATTTCCCTGCCAAGATCTCTGCGCATGCGGATAGGCCAGACAAGAGTTCAAGACGACAAAAAAGACGAAGACGTGGCCGAAGACTCTGCCCATAGGGCCGCGTCTGCGTTTTGAAGTCTTCAGCTCACGTTTTGGGGATTCCCCGGGATCGCCTAGGCAACGAAGACGAAGACGCGAATAAAGACGTGAGTGCGAAACGCCTATTTATTTGTAATAATCCAAAACTACCCGTCCATTATCTTTTCAATTAAAAAATAAACAGAACTGAATCTTAGAGACATTTCTGTAGGGAGCGCTCCACCTTTATACTCTAGTGATTCCGGACCTATGTTAAATACGTTATTCTTGTAGCGTCTTGCGCTAGCTAGGGTCCAGACTCTTTTTATGACATAGAGCCGTTTTCAATTGCTGATTCGGTGGTTCCTGCTCATTTTTCATCGTAGCCTGTGACATACTGCTTCATCAAGAACAAGAAGACAACAAAGCCTTTATCTAAGGCAAAGTAAAGAACAGATAACATAACATCTGCTATCCACATACCTGCCTTCACAAACCAGTGGACCTCCTAGCCAATGATTTTCCGAATTGAAAATGAGCCGACTGTCACCCGTCCGGCACCGAGTACCAGGCAGACATATGTACGAGGCCGAAACGCTAAATCCTGCGTTCGAGTATGCCACTTTAGAGTTAACACCCGCAGGGGAATTCTCACAGCATTTACATGGAGCTTAGCACACAAAAAGATGAAAATTACTGTTCATTTCCGTTGAAAATATCAACTGCGACCCATCACATCTGACGAAGCCGAGAACGGAAAGCATTCTAGTACCAAATGCCCGTAATGACGATCATTGCAAGTTCGACACTGTGAGAGCAACTAAGGCTGCCAATAAAACTATGAGAGTACCAAAGAGTACCAGAGGGTTACTAGTTCCCCGTTTTTTTCTTTTTTCTTTTTAGTCTTTGCTCAGATTATGCCACGATCTGCGAAATAGCCTTATCACTCACCTATTGAATGGCCAAGGTAATCAAATTTTCAAATCTACACCAGAGGCTTGCTTGAAGACCTGTCCCCAAGGACAGAGGTATCACGACGCGTGCGTGTGTGTCCATACGGTGCAGTGGTACGTGGAGTGGGTTTCCAAATAGAGAGTGTGCAGGTTCATTTCCTTACGACTACCATGGTACGCGTATGTCTTCTTTTTCTCATTCTCCTAGGCCTAAGTTCATTCTTCTGGGTGGTTACCAACAGCCAGTGTATGTCTGATTATGTGGTGCGGTGGTTCGGTGTTAGAAAAGAAAAAGAAATGGAAATGAGAATGAAAAGAGGGATTCACTGTCCAGAAATGGCCACCTCAACCACCTGTGTGTTGTCTATACATCAGCCTTGCAAACTGTTTTATAGTGTAATCCCAGTTGCTTTGTCTAAAAAAGCTTGTTTGCTATCATCGTTCAGCGATGAGTATGAGTATGTGCTTGTGCGTGGGCCTGTGCCTGTGTACTTGCCCATGGGTTAGCGTTTCGGTAGGTAAGTGAGAGGAAGATTGTTTATCATTCAGTTGTTTCGGATGCGTAATGCGGAACACTTACCACATTCTACACCAGCATCTTCGCTATGGGCGCAGTTGTGAATGCCCACTGGTTTGCCTTGACATTGAAACAAGTCGATTTCCAGTCCAGTACAACGCAAATCATCCAGAAGTATAGGGCCCAGACCACCGCCGAACGTCCGAATAGCACGTAATGCGTTTGCATACCTTCAGAGGTAAACGTGGCATCGACACAAACTATGTTCCAAACTCAAATAAGTGCTTGATCACAGATACAGCCAGTAGCCTTGTAGCTTTGAAAATGAATAAATGCAATAAGAGAGCATGTATGGGATATTAAAGTATTGGTGCAAATTGATCTTTTCGATTGACTCGAAATTTGGAGATAGGCTCCATTTGAGGTGAAGATCGACTGCGCAAAGACCTACGAAAATATTCGGAAGGAGACCTTGGAACTGGCATACACCTGAACGATGGCCCAAAACACATAATCTCTAAATACGAGCCACGCCGCCCCACACCAAGACCTTTCCGACCAAAACTCTCCGATGCCTGTGATTCCAGAGGTGGTAGAAACCATCAACTCTCCTAGGCTCCTTCTTAACCTTTCCTACACACTTGATATCTCCGTTCTATGCGTGCACCAACCCTGATTTCATGTTCACCCAAATATGCTATTACATGGATTGTTCAGCGGGAATTGCACCGTGAAACTCCATGCACTAACTGGCCATCAGGTTTGGTTCTTCCTCTGTGAAGGAACGTAGAAGGTTCGGTTTTGTGGAGCACTACACACGAGTCTAAAAGGAATCCTTAAAAAACCTTAGCATGGTGATTCAAATTTATTCGAAGTACTTGAAGTAGGGGTGTCGTCGAGTAGTAGGGTATCCTTGCTACCCGTAGTAAGATCAGGTAGTAGGGTAGCGATTGGCGTCTGACAACCTGATAGGGTAGTTGGAGTACAGTGTTTTGCAACGATGCACGTTACAAGCACGGTTACGTGCATGTTGTATACTTTTGATGTAGTTCAAATGCACACTCACTGTACATACTATGTACGAAAAATACCCGCTAGAGTACCCGTGCTGCTCAAATAGAAATATCCAAACTCGTTACCCGGCCAAACCCCTACCCGTTGCAGCCCTAGTTAGAATTGACCATCACCTTATGTGTATTTTCGGATGGGCATACTGAGTTTCCAGGAGGATATGTTGAATCGAGGTTGGATGACATATTACTAGTCGCAACTTATCTAGCCATTCTGCTGTAAGTGGCATTCTATGAGTATATTTGTAATGTATTTCCTGTGATTATCTGCCACAGCCAAGAATGGGAGTGCGAGGTACATTCCATCCTTTATCCAGACCAAACAGTATACCTACCCGAGTTGGCGGCAAACAACGTGTGCGTCTTGGAGGCCCCAGGAATCGTCGCACACCGTTCCCCATGTTCCATTAGTAAGGGTAACCTCCACTCGTCCTGTCCACGGATGCGTGCCACCGACAAGACGAACTCTGGTTGTATCTAAATAATAACGAATTTCGAATTAGTAAGAATGGGCTTGAATTAATTGAATGCGCGTTCTGAGAACAGAGTTCATACTTGGGAAGTACATTGAAATTCAAGAAGATGGAAAATAGACCTCTAGTCGCACACATACTATCCAGTGACAGCGTTTAACAGCGTAACTACACAACTACTGAAGTAAGATCTTAAGTGGGAGGGCCTTCAATTTTGAAGGGAATTTTCTATTTATTCCATCACCGATGGGTTTTCGGAATCGGCTGGAAAGTCAGGCGACATTCAGAAGGGATCTTTCTGTCTGTAAGTCAAACAGCAAAGACCTTTCTCATCTTTTTGACAACTGGACAAAGCTTGAAACGATTTGAGGTAAGATGCGACACTCACCAACACAAGGACATAACTGGAGCATTAGACTCAGGGCAATCAGCATATATCCCGCGTTTACTCCGGCCATATCAATAGAAAACCACTTAGACAGCTTCCTTCCCTGATGTATTCTCTGTCCTCTCAAGGGAACCCTCTGCTCAAGGACACACGATTCTGAAAGCAGTGCTCATCCCTTTCTGCTTGCAGTATATGCACGTAGTTTTGATTACCGAGTGTTTTCAACGCTTTGGCTTTTAGGGTTCCACCACATACATAGAAAAGCAACACCGAAACCACTTAGACATCCCTAATCGTGTTGAAATACCCCAGCGAGATGTGCTGTGGGTATTCAATGTGATGTAAAACACACGCTTCAATCTGACACCATGAATGGACTATCAAGGCTGTGGTGCTCATTGACGTCCTTCATTAGCACGAACCTTCGGTAGAGCGTAAACCCATGGTTAGACCGCCCGGTCATCGACCACTTGTTGGCTTCTGTCAGACTTAAGGTGTTGATGGTTCCCTTACCAGTTCTACGGTCATAATACACAAGAGAGAGATTGGAGGTTGTGTCGCAACCCTGAGTTTCACGTATTACTACCACCATCAGGCAACTGATGGCTCCAAAACGGGCGGCCTGAACATAAGGGTGAGCAAGGTAAGAAATACGGAGTGCATCATAGCGTGCGAGTCAAGTGCAGGCGAGAAGTTGCTAAGTATATGCAGCGGCAGCCGCAGCTCCGGTGTGAATAAAATAGAAAAGAATATGGTCACAATATGTACTGTACGTAGTAAGAAAATTATTATTTTCCTCAGTTTCGGCAAATTGCCCCTTTTGAGATTGCACTTGCATCAGGATTGTCTATGCACGCTGGTGCCCTCTATAAAATCGCATCAAATTGTACGCGGGCATTTCAAAGTTTTGGGATTTTCCTCTGTTACCCGCCAAGATCACCAGACTGCTAGGGTAAATTAGGTATCTGGTATGAGCTGATGTATCCGGTCTCAGGAACTGACCGCCGGAGTGTTTTGGTGTCGGTATTGACTTCTACACTTCCTGAAGCAGATCGACTAACATGCTGCGATCCACAGGCTGGGTCACAGTGGACGTCAATACTGACGGTATATGTAGTACATGCAGCAGAACGATGTCGTGAGTGACCGCAGTAGGAGATGTAGCCTGTCTCAGAGTAATCCAGTTATGTTACATGTACATGTACATCTTCATTCTGATCACCGCTAATTATCATCTCCATCACACCCACCCGTTCTCAATGTACTATTATGCAATGAGACTGTCACCGTGGAGCCGCTATCATTGCTGCCCCCCCCCCCTAATTGTTCGCTGCTCAGGTGATAGACTCACGCGATTCTTCCTGCTCTTTACTAGGGGTCAAACGGGTATCCCTTTAAGGTGGCAGACTACCCAACAATTCGCTGAAAAATCGAATTTGTAAATTCATATTGAGTGCTACGTCAGTTGAAAGAGCATGAATAACTGCAACTTATCTGAAAATTGTGTCCCGATCTGACGAGCCGTTCAAGAGTTATGGCCGAAAATGTGCCCTTTCAAGGTAAGATTTTTTTGTTGCACGCTGTCATTTGTTGGGAGCACTGTATTTAAATGTGAGCAGACCGTGCGCAACTTGTCGTATCATGGAAACACGCGAAAGTGTGCAGAACTTTGCTCCAAGTCCAAAAAAGTCCAAAATATCACGTTAAAAACACGTATTGGGCTTTTGACAGCACCCTCCTGATGTTGCAGATATGTGACTTGATTATTGTAGTTCGCGTTGATTTAGCGACTTTGGCAAGTTTGAGTCGTGTCAAGAAGTCAGATAAGATTCAGTACTAGGCACTAGTGGAACGTGAGTGGTAGTCTTTGCTGGTTTCTGAGGGTACCCTGGATTTGGTGTGCCGCGCTGTGGAAATGGCTTGCGGTGGATGTCCCAGCACTGGATGTTGTATCAAAGGCACGACCTCGTAGCACGTGCTAAACCTATAAAAATTCAAAAATTGACAGATTCCAGGGCCACGTTGAGGGGCCCTTACCCACCACCCATGGCTGCTTCTGGACTTGTTTTATGTTTGGGTCCCGCGCACGAACAGAATGAGCACGAAAATGTGAAAAAATTGTAAATGCATTTGTTTGGCTCCTGTGTGGCTCGCACACCGTGGCACTATGCCCAAAATTTGAGTTTTTCCGGCCTGGAAAGCCTTTCAGTGAGGCGCAAGAACTTGTAAATCATGTTCTGAGGGCCAGCATAGTGGCAGGAGTGTGTGATCAAAATGTCACTCTAATCCATTGAGAAACACCAAAGTCACGGTCAATTGAATGCCATATGCCAAGTTGGAGGTCACCTTCCGGGTGGAGGATGCTGCCTTGCGTTGGATATCCTCGTATCTGTCTGCTCGTTCTCAGGCTGTTCGCTTGTCCTATTTCTTGTCTGATCCCCTCCCTGTAACGTCTGGAGTGCCCCAAGGTTCCATTCTGGGTCCTTTGTTATTCTTGCTTTACGTTAATGACCTACCTTCAGTTGTCCCCGATGTTAGTATGTATGCGGATGACACTGGCCTTATCTGTTCTGATTCCTCCCCTACACAATTACTCCTTACCATGCAGCATCGCATCAACAGCTTTGTCATGTTGATGCAAATGTGGAAACTCCAGCCCAATTTAGACAAGACAGAAGCCATGTATATTTCTTCATCCCCTCCTGATCAACCATTATACTTCCCTGACTCGACTATGCCTATCCGTGTTGTTACTCAGCACAAACATCTAGGTGTGATGTTTGACTGCAAACTCTCTTGGGCTGCATATGTCAAATGTGTATGCAAGCAAACCAGTTCAGCATAAGGGGTAATACAACCGCATTGCACTCATTTGCCCATCCAGTGTAAACTATTATTTTATCAATGCTATATTCTCCCTATATTCGACTATTGCGATACCACTTGGTGTGGCCTTTCTGACACAACTCTGAACCAATTAGAAGTCCACCATAGATTTATACTTAAAATTCTTTACAACAAGGATCGATGTTTTCTGTACACTGGTTCATAAAATATTTCTTCATTAAACCCCTTCACATTATGATGAAGTACTATTTCCGTGGCTGGCTCAACGCTCTTGTCTCAGGGGATTCTGTCCCTGCATTAGCTATGCGTGTCACATGCTATGAGATTGTGTCTAATAATAATAATAATAATAATAATTTTTTGTGTAGGCTGCCCCCTTAACTAACGAACGGGCAATTTTCTTCACAGGCAGGTTAAGGTGGGAACCCTTTAGCAGCCATGTTTAATTTTTGCGCAATTTTGACAAACATATAAATCAAGATTTTAATTCATCTGTTTTCGGGTTGTATTTTGATATCACATTGTTTTTCGCCAATCGATTGGTGTCTGATAGTCGCAGGAGTAGATCTACTAGGTGCGACAATACTCAACAATGCAGATATCCAGCGTGGAGTTGAATAATTGACCCCCGGCTGGAATGCACGATCCCAGGAGTGTTGCTCCGTGCTGACTGGTTCATCAAAATCCCAACGGGCACCCTTTTACGAAGGGTACCTTAGATTAACGGTAGGGTACCCGTGTAGCCGGTACACGCCTTTGACCCCTACTCTTTACGTCATAATACTCCCTACTATTTATATTTTTATAATTAATTACCTGGTGAGGTGTCCGCTCGCCAGTGTCGTGGCTGTCGCTTTCATGCTCCATTTAGTGCTATTCCAGTCTCATGGCTTCATATATCTCGAACGTGTATTAAACTATTTCGACCACCCCTGCTATTGACCAGGGTCGTTTTTCATGATCCAACGTGTATTGCTTAAACGAGTAATTTCCACCTACAGTAAAACCTGGGGTAAGCGACCACCTGTTCTTACCGACCACTTTTCCATGCACGGACAGTTCTACACAGACATTGTGGGACCTGGTTCTAAAGACCACCTGGCTTAATGTAGCTTACGTACATGTATCCGTTATGAGCTGATGTATCCGATCTCAGGAACTGATAGCCAGAGTATTTCGGCATCGGTATTGATTTCTACATTTCCTGGAACAGACCGAGTAACATGCTGCGATCCACAGGCTGAGTCGCAGCGGACGTCAATACTGCCGATATATGCGGTACATACTACAGAAAGATGTAGTGAGTTACCGCAGTAGCTTGTCTCAGAGCAATCAAGTTATGGGACTTGTACATGTATACATAATTATCTTCTTTCTGATCTACGCTAATTATTTTTACCTGGTGTGGTGTACGCTTGCCACTATCGTGCTTCTCGCTTTCATGCTCCAGTTAGTGCTATTCCATTCGCCTGGCTTCTGATATATTGAACCTTTATTCTAACTATTTCGATCACCCTTGCTATTGACATCGTTTGTTTTTCATGCTCCAAAGTTTATTGCATCCCGGGTATTGTCCATCTTCATTGCTGCCAACTGAAATCGGACCACTGAGCGGGCTGAGTTCACATCGCAAATACCCAACACGGGATGGTAAAACTACGAAACAGAGACCGCTAGAATGTGGACGCACCGCTAAGGGGGGCCAGTACTGTAGCTGTTTCTGGCTAGTAGTGGCAGATCTATCACACTCATTACCCTTCCTTATTAGCGTCACGCTATCGTGGAATAAACGAATAATAATACTACTACATGCATGGAAACAAGGAACTGGCGGGACACAAGTTATGCGTTAGACTAATCAACTAAACCTGGTTTTGAGTAGTCATAAGTGCACAAGTTAGCACGAGACTGACAAGGAAAACTGAGACATTTCAGTACTCAGTACTCAGCATCTCAGCATTTCAGCACTCCTTGTGAGACCGGTGCTACCTTGTGCATGTCTGTCTGTTCAAAATCTGGTTACGGTGGTGGACGCTAAGGCATAACGTGTGCCCCAACGTTTTCATTGTTTCCATTTTCCTTGGATCATCTTATGAATAAGAAAAACATTCTTGTAAAGAAAAATTATGGATTCATACAAGTTTTCGGAAAACACTCATCGGGAATCGACGTTGTACTAAGGACACTGAAACACAATTGAACTACTAGTATTATAGAAAATCTAAGTTAGAGAAATAACACTAAGAAAAACAGCACTGAAATTTACAAGTGTGAAT